CGATGCATGAATCCGTGCATGGGGCCTCTACTATTTATAATAAACAACTCCTCAAAGTTTGCTCTCTGAGTCCCTCTCTTTCTCCTGGGAACCAATGCTCCTTTCTGGCAACCAGGCTAGTGCATGGTTTTAAGGAGCGGGCCACTGCAGTACTCCTCTGTCATTACAGATCATAAAGAAATACAGTTACAGGCACTCTCGTCACACCAAGTAACCTGACAGATTTAAACCTTCCTTTCCTTACCCATAAAATGGAAGAAGAGCTACTGCCCTTTCTTACATCACAAAGAGACTATAATGACTAAAGGAAGGGAAGAGATTTATTAGCCATTTAGAAGATAACACAATGGTAATTTAAGGAGCATTAGGTTATCAATAGTATTTACAGCTTAGAAGATAGGACAGTAAATCCTGGTGACAGTATGAGCCCTGTTACCACCTTGATCCCAACAGTTTCTATGTTGGTGCGAATGGCAAGTAGATATTATTATTGTGGTTTCGTGTTTTTACAGCAGGACTTTCCTCTTTGGAATTTTCATACCAAGTTTCGGACTTTTAATGAACCCCTTTTTCCAACATTCACAACATAATGTCGTGCCAGGAAACGTCACCAGAGGGCGCTGCATCACTTACAGAGTCCACCTGGCTTTTCCACAGCAAAATCACTAAGGTGGATGTGAGGAGTATTGGAACTGGGGTCCAGGCCTCAGGTAAGTGAGACCGGGTGAACATTAGTTATGATGGTGGGCCAACATTTAATTAAGCAAGCTTCCTTGTTCCCCTTGCCTCTTACTTGAACCACTCTGCCTTTTCCGTTTGTATGCTTGTGCACTTTTCTTTCTTTCTTTTCAATCAGTTGGGTTTATTCAGATTAGAATTCTTTAGAAACTTGAAACTCCGGGCTGCTCTGAAAGCTGCCACATCATGTTCACATGCTGAAGATGCTGACCTCCTCTCTGAGACATTTGTAAATGTCGTTAGAAGTAAATAAGCGGCCTGCATTGTTTTCAGAACAGAGGAGGTTGAAATTTCTACTTCAGTTGAGGCCTTCAGTTGCTTGTGCAATGGTCCTTAATTCCCAGTCTGCAGACACACCTACAAGAGGTGAAATGCACTGGGATATTCCTAGTGTTTCTCTATACTCTTCACGTGTCTGCGGCTGTGCCAGGCAGCGGGAGGGCAGTGAGTGGGCATGTGTGTCAGGGTGCAGAGGACCATTCAGGCAGGAGTGGCTCTGTATATGCCCTGGGGACCATCCTGGCTTGGCTGTGTGGGACCCTCCGGGCTGTCGTGTAATAGCTGCAGCAGAGGCCGGGGTGACTGGCCTCACTTCTCATTTCAACGGAGAGAAGGGCTCTTGGGAAATAGAACAGCAAAGTGGGGACAGGGAGCAACAATTTTCTGCCCGAACGCACCTCCCTCAGGGCGTGGTGCTTGCACACACAAGTGCTGGCTTGGGAGTGAGAAGCAATGGTCTGAGTTTGGCTGTCTGTTTTTGGGTCACAGTAATTACACAAAAGATCTGTATGTTTTCTGTTTTATCCCTACAAATGACCCTTGAGGTGTGTGTGTGTGTGTGTGTGTGTATGAGTTCCTGTTTATATTCAAATTTACAAATGAGAAAACACAATGAACGAAAGGTCCCCAGGTCCCTTTTAAGTTGGAAGTTCCATCTTGCCTGTGCAGAAACTCTTCCTCAATTGGTGAGGCCAGGTGCAAGGTTTGTGGAGGAGAAGAAAGCAGGAGGGAGCTGGGGAAGGCCTGGTGAGGTCTATTTCTGGTGGGTGGTGTGAGTCTCATTCAGTGCCCACCAGTCAGGCCATTTGGGAGGCAGTGAAGGACTGAGATTGTAGGGATGGGCGGGCACTGACTTCCACAGCGAGGGTCTCTGATGAACACCAGCAGAGCTCAGGTTTTGATAACACAGAAGCTGCTGAAAGCTGCAATCAGCACAGGCAGGGGTGATGAAGAGAGCAGGAGGTGGTGTCTAGTGGCCTCCCGCACTCTCTAGAAGGATGATGAGACGAAGGTGATGGTAGAGGAGACACACAGCTGGGGATCCAGCATTTGGGGGTAACAGAAGTCACAGCAACCAGTGGCCTGTTGCTAAGAGCCCCCGATGGTGTTTCAGGGGAACCCGGGTTGTGGGCAAGTCCAGGAAGTCTGGAAGGAGTTTGTTGGTTTGGAAAGCTCAGTTTTGTGGGGGAGGGAACCCATGATGGGGGTTTTATATCCCCTGGGGGAACTGTCCTATCCTTTGCTGCAATTTTTTATGTTATGCATGTTTTGTTTTCAGATTTCAAATCTTGGACTTAAGGAAAACCCTTTCATTTCCTGACATATATGGAGGCCCAAAGGCTGCAAACTACAGCCATTTAGAAGGCTAATAAATCAAGGAACCTCAAGGCCACAGTCATCTGCTTGCACATCCCCACAGCACCCCCACCTCCACCCCTCCCAAGTGCTGGACAGACCCAGGGCCTTTGCTGGGTGGGACTGATTGGGTAGGGAGGCCTTCAGAGTGGCTGCTGGACACGGAAGACAAGGTTGGAGGTACCAAACGAATGACAATTCCATTTTCTGGAAAAGACTGCAGTCTCTTTTTACATACTGCTTTCGAGTACCAAACACCAAGAACTCTGTCTCATTCCATTTTCCCCTTTGACCTTGGCTTTTCTTTAATGGGTGTGTGTCCTAAACGCCATGAATACGTTCTGAATGAAGCAGGAGAAGCTGCAAACATCCCACTCAGCCTCTCTGCCCAGCGCGGCCTCCTTTGCCAGGTCCTCTCCCGCACCCAGGGCCTTCAAGGGCGAGGGGAGGGGCTGAGCTCTGGCTCAGGCAGAGTAATGGCTATACAAATCCTTCCCCCTCATCACAGGAAGGGCTGAAAGGAACCCGATAATTCCAATTAGACTTAAACTAATGAGCTGGAAGTGTTGGGGGAACCACTGTGGGCAGTGAGGGGACAGTGTGATCATCTTTTAATTAGCACTGGAAAAACCTGTAGCCCAGCTGGTAGCACAGGGGAGCAAAGTTTCTGAGAACATCAGAAGGGGACTCTCTTGGGGTAAAGGGATAAAGGCTGTGGAACAAACCCAGACTGTCATCTTTAAGAGGGGAGGAGGGAAGACCCTGATGGGGAAAGGTGGGCTTGAATGGAGCCTGGAGCACCCCTTCTCCTAGCTGCCCTCCTCACGTGATGGAGTCCAGCTTCAGTGGTTCTCAACCTTCCTAATGCCACGACCCTTTAATACAGTTCCTCATGATGTGGTGACCTCCAATTTCATGGTTACAAATTGAACATAATTAAAGCATAGTGATTAATCACAAAAACAATATGTAATTATATACAGTGGGGCCTTGACTTACAAGTGTCCCGACTAACGAGTTTTTTGAGATACCAGCTGTCTCTCAGCTGATTTTTCGCATTGAGTTGACAGAGTAATTTGAGTTAACGAGCTCCTTAACAGCTCCGTCTAGGAACGAATTAAACTCGTAAGTCAAGGCCCCACTGTATGTGTTTTCCGATGGTCTTAGGCGACCCCTGTGAAAGGGTCGTTCCACCCCCAAAGGGGTCGCGACCCACAGGTTGAGAACCGCTGTGCTAGATACAAGAAAGTGACTTTAGGGAACTCAACTGCCTTTTGGAGCCTGTGCCAGCCCCAGGCCAAGGCCCCCCCTGCCCATCCTTGCCTACTTTCTTAGGCAGCCCTGTCGCTTCAGGAGAAAAACCACCTGCTGCTGTCAAGGCCGCAGACCACTCGCCAGCCTCCCAGCCTCCCCATGGCCTGCCTCCACACACAGGGCCTCTCCATGCACAGGGCCCTCTAGAATCTAGGAAGGGAGGGGACTGAGGAGCGAACTAAGGATCGGTGGGGGCGAACTAGCGTGTGTACCTTGAAGAAGGGTCCTCCTCACTCCCGAGGCCCAAGGATCTAAGATCTTAAGGCGTGAGGCCTGTGGAATCCATCCACAGTTGGTCACCCCTCCCCTCCCCAATGGGGTCTCCTTTGGGAAAAATGGCCTGCGATGGGGGCCCACCCATCCTTTACGAGACCTCCAGGGAGCTCTGCTGGGGGCGCAGAACACGGGGAAGAGTTTCGAGGTCCAGCGCCTGGGCTTAGGGCGCTCTGCCTCGGACACTGGGGGGTGGCAGGGGTGCGTGCCAGGCCGCTGCCGACGAGTCAACCGGCCTCCTGCCCAGCCCCGAGTCTT